TATAGCCAGGGAAATAGAAAATGATGATTTGCATTAATAACAAGGGATGGACTACTCATGGCTTGAGATATGCAGAAACACTACTGGGAAGGAGTAAGGAGAGAATGACTTGTATAGACTACCAGCGTCTACTGACATACTGCCCGTAACTATAGGTTTTCCTTATTTATAGGCTTGTAATATTTTCTGGGGACACCCCATGGTTTGGAAAGCAAAACTAAGCTTCACAAACTGCATCTTGTGTGCAGAAATCTACTTTGCCTACAGGTGCAATTCTGTCTTTTCAGATGAAAAAAGAGGGATTGAGCAGTAGGCACCCAGCCTTTGCATTCTTCAGAGGGGAGGAGGTTGGATCCTGCTTTGCCTTCCTCTGGCATCAGCGTTCTTTGAATCTGGACATGTAGAGCCTATAGAAGTAGAAGGATCTGTTCAGGACAGTTATGTCTTGATGTCCATGACTCAGTGTATCTGGCTGTATAAACTGATTCCAGTGTTTATCAGAACAGTGTTCACAGAGTAGAACCTGGTGGGCTGCTTCCCTGCATTAGTATTCTTATAAAAGCTTTGTCTAACTACTCTTGAAACTTTATTTTTCAGTTAACAGTGTGAAACTGTCTTTTAGATAAATCAAATTCCTTGCTAAAATCTGCACTTGATTCTCTCGGGAGTTACTCTTCATTACACACCTTTAAACTTGTCTCAGGTTATAAGGTGAAGTCAACTCTTCATTGTCATTGTAGATATTTGTAATGAAATTAAGCATTTAAATTACATGACTCAGCCACTTTGAGAGAACTTCAAGAGGCTATCAATCGTTTCACATATGAATTCTGAAAGTTTAGCTCATGTTTTCCAGTTGTGCACTTAGGAATTCATGTGATAAAAGGAAGAGTCATTTCACAAGAGTCATTTCACAAGTGGTCTCTCCAGTCCACCCACCCACTAGCTTTGTATGCAATGCTTCAGGTGTTTTTGTGACTTCTTTCCATAAATCTTACAGATTTTCTGTTTTTTAAGTAAATGAGCTGTATGAATTTTAAAAATCTGTTGATGCTGTATTTGAACCTTTTTTTAGATTTGAGCGAGATTTGAATGCCTTTGAATATTAGTTTTCACAGACACATACTTTTACTATTTCATCAACCATTGGGAAAAGTTACTCTAGATAAATTTTTAGTGAAGATTGTGAGACAGAAAAAAACTAAGATCTTGTATTTTTAAAGCCACAACTGTATGAGCCCAAAGGAAGAGGGGGTGATTTGGTTTGAGTCCTCAACAATGTTTAGGAATATGGGCCAAGATCCAAAAGCAGATATGCAGATAACAAGAAAAGGGATTTATTTACATATGAAGCAAGGAAAGGGAGAGCTGAGAGAGAAGAAAACCTGCTGACTGACATGTGGCAGGACACCGGCCCAGGGATAGTATCTGCTGAGGGGCAGAGGCTTGGGGCCAGTTGGAAACCATCCCTTTTGCTCTTTCTAAACATTCCATGGTGGCTCCACTCTGCCCCTATTTCCCAACAGCCTTTGTTCAGGAAATCAGGGTGGAGTCTGGAAAGCCCAACTTTTTGGCAACCAGTTGCCTTTGAGCCTTACCCACTGGCTACGAGATGTTTCTCTTATAATCGTGATACATCATCATTTACATGAGTATATTTAAGGTATATGGTCAGTATAAAATGCTTTGAAATTTTTCTTCTTAGAGGCAAAAAAGTAGAGTGGGAAGTAGTCATATTCTCCCACCTAGAATTAACTCTTAAAAACATGTTGACATTTTTCTTACGTAATCCTCAAAAACAACAAAATACTGTTGCTGTACAGCTGGTACCCACCTATATAAAGAATGTAAACAATGCAGAAAGGTAGAGAAATGAAAGTTAAAAATAACCCCTATATCTACCACCCAGAAATAATCCTCATTAACATTTAGTCTGTTCTCAGGTGTGGGTAGCATTGAAGGTTTTGAGGATAGGTGTTGAAATTTTGTGTTTTAGCCCATTACAACAAAGTATTGTCCCACTCATAATGCTAGGTAGGAGTAGTGTCCCCATGGAGAGACAGATTGTGAGTGACAGATGCATGGATCAGTTCTCACTGTAGATGTTCATCTTAAAGGGATTTCAATTTCATGTTATTTTAGTGTAACAGAATTGTAGAAGGAATTGTTGGATTTGAGATAAATTATTTTTCACCGTGAGCAGTGGGAAATAAGAGGTTTAAGAAACTAAATTAGAAAATATTTGAAAAGATTCGATATCTGCTTGAGTGATGTTTTAATTTTGGACATTAACTTTCTTGCCTTGAAAGTTGAGCACTTTATGTGTTTCTTTCCTCATACCTCTTAGTTTTTCATAGTTATATTTTTTTATTATTCAGGTGTAAAAAATGCACAGTGTCCAGAAGCCTTAATGGATTGTTTAATGTTCAGGTTGCAGGGGTTAAAAATAAGATTCCTTCTTTCTAGAAAGAAAAATACCGGATGGTTTCGCTCATAGCAGGAGTATAATGGACCAGGGGAGAAAATAATAAGAATAATGAACAGCCATATACCAGAGGCATTTTGTGGGGGTGGAGTGGGGAATGGGAGCAGAAACTGGGGGTGGGGGGAGTGTACTGGACTATGGTGATGGCACACGGGGTGACTCGGTCGGTGATGGGAAACCCGTGGGGATTCCAATTGAGATGGAAAAAAAATGTACAAAATGATGTAAAAATAAACTTTTATTTAAAAAAAATAAGATTCCTTCTTTCTAGGTTCTTGATTGAGACACTCCCTGTGATAAAGACAGATTAACAGGGAAAAATTAATTTCCTAAATAAAGTAGCTTTGTAGATAGGAAACTCCGGGTTTGGGAAAAGTAAGTGGAGGGGGGAGGGGTCTGGGACTTCAAATGGCAGGCAGATAATTCACAGGAAGATGGGAGGAACAAATGTTTGGTAAACAAGTAATTTGCCATGCTTTGCAAGGAGACAAAGGAACACAAATGCCCTAAGCCCCCCTCTTCCCACTACTTACTTACTCATACACTTTACAGTTACTTCTGGGAGTATGCAGTAGCTCTCTTCCTATTCCAGCCCTCGATCTAAATCCTTTTAAGCACTTAAGGAAGAGATAAAAACTTCCTGAGTTTGCTGTTTCTTTAAAAATATTTATCCCAAAATAATCCCTGTACCATTTTGGGGTGGCAAATTTTTCTCTTCTACAATGTTTATATGTAAATGGATTCAGTGCTCACAGTTTTGTAACCATGGCTGCCTCATTCCTGGGTTTAAATGGTTTGATTACAGTTTTCTTTGCTGGTTTAGTTTTTCAGGTATTACGGGGTTTTTTGTTTGTCTCTTGTTTTTCAAAAGAAGTTTTGGGGTGGGTTTTATAGTTATTGAAATATTTCATGTTTGATAAATATCTGGTATTTAAACTTATTCTCCAACAAATCTTTTATATTGAGTATTGTGATTATGGCTTTACTAAACTTTGAGGATGGCCCAGATTTACTTTCTGGGTCTTTTTCTTCTTGTCCCCCTTAATTATCTTTAGGGTAGAGAGCAGCTACCACTGCAGCCTTGCTAAAATCTCAGACCCCAAAATCCCACCCCCATAATATTATTTCTAAATGTCATAGATAATATTGTCTTAATATTTTGGTTGAAATTGCTTTTAAAAATTAATTTAGCAGAATTTTCATCATTACAGTGTTGTCTTTTTATCCATGAACATGTATTTTGTTCTAATAACCTCTTTTTTTATTTTTTTTAAGTAATTTAGAGACATAACATAAAAGTAACCATCTTAAAAGTATACAATTCATTGGTATTTAGTGCATCCACAATGTTATGCAACCAGCACCCCTGTCTAGTTCCAAAATATTTTCATTACTACCAAAAGAAAACAAAACTATTAATGTAGGAAAACATGATGAGACTTAAATCGTAGGTGTTTGTAGTTTTAGATTTGCAAGTTAGAGAGCCACAAACTCAGGTGTCAGTCCAATTGTTTCCAACTTGGGGGCTTTGTATAAGGGAACTTTAAAGGGAAAAAGTAGGTTGGGAGGGAAGTATAGCATTGCAAAGACTAGGATTGCTTATAGATTGCATTTCTTAAATTCATTTTTACTCAAACTGGCCTTCATTAACATGGAAGAGAAGGAACAAGAGAGGAAATATTCTTTGCAAAGCTCTGAAGAAGGTCAAATCTAGCAGGAAACCAGTTTTGTTTTTTTTTGACATTTTTTTAATATTAGTTTATTTTTACATCATTTTGTGCCTTTTTCCATCTCAGTTGTAATCCCCATGGGCTTCCCATCACCAAATCACCCGTGTGCCATCAACATAGAGAAACCAGTTGTTTTTTTTTTTTTTTTTAAAGATTTATTTATTTGTACATACAGAACTTGGGTACAGGCCAGAGGCTCAGGGGCGGTGAGAGGCTTCACCAGAGACAGAGTGGGGAGCAGAACAGGCAGATCGAGGAAGTACACTGCTGAGGGGAGCAGCGGGCGGGTCAGGAGAGGTCTGCCACGCCATGTGGTCACCTCCGGGGCAGGCGGGAATCGAACTCATGCGGAAGTGACTTTAGCTTCTCAGTGCAGTGCTTTAACCCGCTGCGCCACCAGGGAGGGCCCTAAAACCAGTTGTTTTTTATATAAAACTTTTTATTTTGTTTTTTTAATTAAAAAAGTTATTTGAATGTCTTTTTTTTCTTAATTCCATATTCTTTGTGATACGCACTTTTGGTATATGAAAGTGTGTTCCAGTAGAATTTATAAGTAATAATAGGAGTAATTTTTGCACCTGTAGAATTCTAAGCTCCTTATAAATGAAACTTTATCTCTCTGGTAAATGAAATTCCTTATAGTTATGAACTGCGTAACTTAAGGATAGCAGATCACTTAAAACAAATATCAGTTAAATTTAGGTAAATAAAGGAACTCAATTGCCTCATGATGACATCTTTACTCAATGTTTATAAATTGTAACTACTCTTTGTTCTGTCTGTAGGTGGAAAACCATGAGTTCCTTGTAAAACCTTCATTTGATCCTAATCTGAGTGAATTAAGAGAACTAATGGATGACTTGGAAAAGAAGATGCAGTCAACCTTAGTAAGTGCGGCTAGAGATCTAGGTAAGAACAGTTAATTGGAGGTTTGAGTACATACAGTCCCCTACTTACGGGTTTTCGACTTTATGATGGTGTGAAAGCAGTATGCACCCAGCAGAACCTCTGCTTGGAGACTTGAATAAACCATTTCCCAGGCTAGTGATATGCTGTGCAGTATTCTCCTACATACGGGGCAGTAGCAGTGATGAGTCAAACATGGGATGTTACTGTGAGGTAAGCAACCAATTCTCTGTGGCATGGAGTAGTCAGTAGGCTAGGTGAGATTGTCAACACTTTTTTCTATATTCGATGATTTTTCTCAATTGTGAGAGAATGCACATGTTCTGATCACATTTAAGGTAGGCTAAGTGAAGCTCGGTCCTTCGGGGCCTAGGATAGGCCCATGCATACATTTTTACATTTAGATATTTTAACTTATAGTGGGATCATGGGGGTGTAATAACTGTCTAAGTCAAGATCTGCAGTCCTTGTGTGTGCGTGCGTGCACATGCACACTAGTCAGAATTACTTTTCCAGAAGCTATCTTTACCCGCCCTTTTCTCTATAGAATAAAATTATAAATATTTAAAGATGACATACAGAGTACTTTATATTCTGAGACTTACCCCTTTCCAGACTCATCTCTTAATAATTTTTCCAGCCCCTAGACAACCCCACTTCCTGCCAAACAAATCATGATGTCTTTTACATGCATTTAAATAAGACATTTTAAAATGTCTCCCTCTTGCAATCCTAACTCTCCTAGGAACGGTTCATTAATTTGGCTATGAGGTTTCTGAACACTTCATTAATAACAGCTTTTTTAAAAAGTCTGCCTTCCATAGTTGATTATAAATTCCCTAATTAGTCTAATACTCTTCACACTGTTCTGTTTTAAATTTTTAAACCCCTGTTCTAAGCCTTTTACACATGTATTTGAATGAATAAGTGAATCTGTATTAGATCTAGAGGGCCCCTTGGAGAAGTACTAATTATATTTTTGGAGCCTGGTGAAAGTTACAGATCTCTTATCAGAAATAAACACATACCTACACTTAACAAAAGCATTGTGAACACTTCATGGAGGATGCACATATAGACTAAATGTGGTTAAGAAACTTTGTTTTAAAGAATATTGAAATCTACCATCATTTTGTACCTCAGGATATTACTTGAGGCTCAAAGAATTTGGCTACACAGAGTTAAAATTAATCTGTTTTCTTACTGATTATCAACTTAATAGAAAGTTAATGTGTTTTCAGAATGTTTTCCTATGTTTTGCAGTGTGTGAATTTGTAGAATGGAAAATTTTCTGTTGATATTTGTTTTATGAAGATAGAAATCTATTAAGAATCCTTCATAGTATACATTAATTATTGCCTACTTTTGGTTTGTTTACTGAGTGCTAACAAGAAAATTAATGGTAAACGTCTGCTTTTACAGTTAGCATTCAGTTCTATTTTAAATTAATTTGCTTTATATGGAAATAAATGTGGACTTTATATCAAAGCCAAATTTGAAAAGTGTAATGATAGTACAAAGTATAAGGACAGTAAAGAAGCATTAGGCTCGGGGTTGGGAAATTGAAGCTCTAGTTTCAGCTTTGTAAAACTTTTATAGATTATTTAATTTTTCTTACTGTCAGTATAGTAATTTGTAGAACTAACAGGTTGGATTTAGTGCCCTTAACCTTACATCCTTGTCCTCAGAAATATCTCTACTCTTTGAGGGTATTGAGCTGCATTTTAAATTAAGTTGTAATCCTAGTGAAATTCTAAATATGCTAGTGTTAAATAAATACAGTATTTATCCTTTAAATACCTTTGTTTTTCATGCGTTGGAGTGGTGCTGCTTGTTAATACTACATTGAAGCACAGGAGCAATAAACTGTATCACATTCTCATAGGATAGATTTAAGACTGACTACTGATTGATACAGTCTTCCGTTGTGAGATTGCCATTTTCTCTTTGAAGGTTTTGAAAGATTCCTTTATTCAAAATCTAGTTTTATTTCTGTGTGGGTCTTCACAGCCCCTTTCCTCCCTGGTCAAGTGAGACCTGTCTTTAGTTTTTTGCTACTACTAACATTTGGTGTTTGCACTCCTACTTTGTGGTTTAAAGATCATATTGAGGGCTTCCCTGGTGGCACAAGGGTTAAATCTCAGCACTACGAAGCTATTGGCAGCCACTGCAGCACAAGTTCAAGTCCTGGCCAGGGAACTAACTCACATGGTGCAGCAGACTTTTCCTACCTCACCCACTTCTCCCCTCACCAGTGGGAAGGGAATGGTTGGTCAGCCTGTTCTGTTCCCCCTCTGTCTCTGGTGAATCTTCTCACCCTCCATACCCCTGGCCTGCACCCCAGCTCTTGTATGCATAAATAAATAAAATAAATCCTTAAAATAAAGTTCATATTGATAAATGGGATAGTGAAAAGGGGGCTTAAGAAAAAAACACAAAATATTGGGTGCTGCATGAAGTCTAGCTATTTAGTCATTGCTTGCTGTGTGAGTTCCGATACTTAGCAGAAAATGTATGTCCTTGTTTTCCGAGAGTTGCACTGTCATAGTCAGGCTTTTGTTTGGGAAGTGATTTGTTCACTTTAATTATATCCTGTGTTAGTTCTGGAGAAATGCTCTGGTTAACTGAAGAATGCCCATGGAGAACTTGTCAGGGGCAGGAGTCTCTGTCCTTGGTGTCCACGGTGTCTAGAAGGATATGTGCTGCCCACCACTGGCACTCTGCAGAATTTACCAGGAAAGTGCTTCCACTTGAAGGTTACGTAAAATAAGGGAGTTTAAGGTGTTATCAATATCTTAACATAGCTTTAGAGGGAAGTGTAAATATAATTGAAATACTATCTTTCCCAGATAGTTAATAATGATTTGCAGTACGCTGTCATATAGTTTTTTAACACTTACATTTTACTGCCCTCCCTGGTGGCACAACGGGTTAGGACGCACCACTGCAAACTGGCCACAGCCACTTCCGTGCAAGTTTGATCCCGGCCCTGGAGGTGACCCACATGGACCAGCAGACCTCTCCTGATCTGCCTTTTCTGCTCCCCACTCTGTCTCTGGTGAACAGAGACACCCCTCCAACCCTGGCCTGTACCCCAGTTCTATATGCATAAATAAATAAATTTTTTTAATTTACATTTTACTGATTTAAGTATATACATTGTAAACTATCTGCATATATTATTTTTTTCTTTTTTCCTTACTATAAAGGCTTGGATCCTGGTAAACAGATTAAACTTGATTCCAGTGCACAGTTTGGGTATTACTTTCGTGTAACCTGCAAGGAAGAAAAAGTTCTTCGAAACAATAAAAACTTCAGTACAGTAGACATTCAGAAGAATGGTGTTAAATTTACCAACAGGTTTGTAAGCCAATGTTATGTTGATAAACCTTTAATAGGTTAAATTCTCTGGTAAAATGTAAATGCTCTATATAGTAAAAGAGTTTTTCTTTATTTATTGTTAATTTGTATAAGGTACAGAGTAAGAGTGAAATTTTATTTTCTTATAAGAGGCTACTAGTCAGGTGTCCTAATGCCACTTGTTAAACCATCTTTTCCTCATTGTGTCTTTTCATTATATCAGTTGATAGAAAGATTAGTTTTGGGGATGTGTACCAGCCTTGTTGAAGACCCTCATAAACTACAGCTTTTAAACTACATACAGTTTAAATGATACTTGAAGTTATTTACAAAAACAATACTGTGCCTCCTTGGTGGCACAGGGGTTAAAGACGGCACTGTCAGGCCAGTGCAGCACGAGTTCAACTTCTGGTCAGCCATGTTGCTGACCGACATGGTACAGCTGACCTCTCCTGTTTCGCCCACTGCTCCCCTCAGCAGTTTATTCCAGCACATCTACATGTTCTGCTCCCCACTCTGTCTCCTGCGAATCCTCTCACCTCCCACATCTCTGGTCTATACCATAGTTCATGTATGCATAAATGAATCTGTTTTTAAAAAATAAAATTTAAAAACCTGTTTCAGTTGACAAAAATCACCATTTTCTGCCTTTTCCTTCACTAATGTCAGAAAGTTTCTGAGACTGATTATTCATAGGGGGAAAAAAAAGATTTAAAAATAAATATATGGCCCAGGGGAGGGCTCGCAGTTACCTTTTCTCCTCTGTACTGTGGTAGAACTTATGGCAGCCTCATCCCCACCCTGTTAGTATCCGCAGCCTCACTGGGTACCTTTTGTTTATATGTGCAATCCTATTTCACCAATTTATTTAGAAGTATTTGAGTGTTTGTTATGTGCAGACATATTCTAGTTGTTTAGAGACCTCAGTAATGAAAACTATCTGTTTAATTTGTATCTCGTAACAACTCTGAAATAAATAGGACAGGTGTATTTTTCTCATTTTTGGATGAAGAAGCTGGAACTCCAGTTCCCAAGCATTAGACAGCTATTAAATCTCTCTTTGTTGCCAAATTCAGTAGTTAATTATCTAGCACACTATATATCTGATTCAAGAAATAATGTATATTTTGGCTTAATGATGAGCAAAACTTTTGGAGTATATTAAATCATCATCAATCACTGATTAGTTATATATAAAAGAGATTGGACTGACTTAACTATTATTTCCATTTTAATTATTGTTTTGATGCTTTATGGTAGTCTGATAATTTAAAGTAGTTTACATTACCACCAGTAGGTGTTTTTGTTTTTTTAATAATACCATTCTCTTGATTTGATTTGCAGTAAATTGACTTCTCTCAATGAAGAGTATACCAAAAATAAATCGGAGTATGAGGAAGCCCAGAATGCCATTGTTAAAGAAATTGTCAATATTTCTTCAGGTAAATTTAATAGACCCAATCCATTAAATGTTTTAAATATAACCTGGGTTTTGGTAATAAAAAAGTATCAGGATGTTTGAAGAGGTTTTTTTTTTAATGCCATTATACATAGATAAGCTGGTGTGGCTAAAGAATGGGGATACCTACCCTAAGAGCACAGAAAAGCAGAAAAATATAAAACTTTCACTATAGTCAAAACAAGGAAAGGAAGTACAAAGGGCTATAGGCACTAATATTATGTACTCTCTGTGAGCACTAAGTTGTGGAAATAATCCATTAAAAAGCAAATAGAAATTCCACGTGAAGCAGACCTTTCTAGTTATATGTGCCATTTTATAGATTTTTGGATTCCATTCTAGAGCTGCTGTTAAGATGGCAGTTTGACAGTGAAAGGGGCAGGTTGGCTGGGCACTGTGGTGTTGCCCTTAGCATGGATGAATGTGTTTAGCACAGCATAGTGGTTATATATGCTAAGCTGAAAGATTTTCCCCTTCATCCTGTGTTATTTGACTCTAACCTCATAGTGCCTTTCCAAAACAACTGCTTTAGACAGCTGTTTATGTTCGCATCACTAATAAGGGAACAGATGACATGATATGCTTGCTGTCATGGTGCAGAAGGAAGGACCCAGTATCCCTTACCTGTGTAGTGTTCCTGACAAAAATATTTAACCTGATTCTAAACAAGAAGGAAAAGTAAATTTAGACTAGGACATTAGGGCATGAACTCTTAAAATGCCAATGTCGTGGAAGCAAATAAGAAATGAGCAGAATCTGTGTTAAATATGACTTACAGAGAAAGGATAATCAAATGCAGCGGACAACCCTTGATTGAGTCCGGAATTAGGGTGAACTTGGCAACAAGTGTGAAGGGGCAGTTGAATTTTACAGAATTCATTAATATGAGGCAGTGTCACATCTATGTCAAATTTTTTGGATATGCATTGTGATTAAGTAGAAGGGTATCCTTTTTATTATTAGCCTATTTTTGTTGATATATTAGAAATGTTTTGAATTTTAAAGTATTTACAGCAACTTTTCCACTAGTGTTTAGTAGCCTTCACCTTGCTACATGATAGAGTGGTATAACACTGTCTACCTTTAAGAAATGTACATTTTAGCTAAAGCAGGAACAAATTTAATAGTGCTAGGAAGGAGTAAAAGAATTGTTTGTATTTGACCATACATGAGTTAAATTTTTTTTTTAATATTTTATCACTTTCAGGGGATCAAGGAAATCAAGATGAGGCAAATTTCAAACTTATTTTAGTGTTTTTCTAAACACATCTCGTGAATGTCCTTTGAAACTTTTGGCACATTGATTTTGGTGTGATAATTCAATATAACGTGGTCTGTTATATTGATCCCTCCAAACTATAAAAATTTTGGAATCTATGGCTGAAAATTTTCATCATTTTTATTGCCTAGAAGCATGTGTCAATTTTTAAATGTACATAATAGCTTTTAGTTTTAATGTTCCAGCAAAGTAGGTCTTATTGAAAGTATTTTGAGTGACAATTATAGATTTAAATTTATGCTGAAATTCAACTGCATGTGATGCTGATGGGAAAGAGTAAGGCTCAAGTAACACAGTCATATTTGTACAGAAAAAGGCCCTGACAGTCACATTCTCTCCTAACACCTGATGTTTATATGTTTCTTAAGGTAATTGTAAAGTTCTAAATGTTAGACTGTGAAAATTTAGTAACTAGAGAGTAAAGCTCAAGTAACACAGTCATATTTGTACATAAACAGGCCCTGACAGTCACATTCTCTCCTAACACCTGTTTGTATGTTTCTTAAGGTAATTGTAAAGTTCTAAATGTTAGACTGTGAAAATTTAAGAACTAGTATATCTTAAAATTGGTAATGAGCCTCATATACTGCATGGACCTTGCTTTTTCTTTCTCATCTTATGGATATATTATGAAAACTTTTTCTAAGTTTTTTGAAAACAGCATCTCATTTCTTTTTAAGCAACTAGGCCCATTTATGTTTTCATGGACTTTGGTAATAGAGGGCATCACTCCCTGGGATGTCTGTTCCTAGTGTTAGATGTAGCACATGTTTTAACCTCACACCAAGTTTCAGTTTTCTTACAAGTTTAGTTGTTGCAGAGTTCTCTTAATTTTTCAAAAGCAAATTAACTAAGAAATGGCCTTTATTTTTTTATAATTTCGTATGATACCTGTTTACATGCTGCATTTCCATACAGGCTATGTCGAACCAATGCAAACACTCAATGACGTGTTGGCTCAGCTAGATGCTGTTGTCAGCTTTGCTCATGTGTCAAACGCAGCGCCAGTCCCATATGTACGACCAGTCATCTTGGAGAAAGGAAAAGGAAAGATAACATTGAAAGCATCCAGACATGCTTGTGTTGAAGTTCAAGATGAAGTTGCCTTCATTCCTAATGATGTTCATTTTGAAAAAGGCAAACAGATGTTCCACATCATTACTGGTAAGCAAAAACAGAACAACCTTATTGGTGGATCTGGGAGGTGGGGGGTAGATAGGTGTGTTTCCCTCTTTTTAATGGAGTAGAAATATATTAAAAATTGATAATGAAAATCCTAGTCTTTGACATTAAAAAAAGAATATGTTACTCATACTAGTAATGCACATTTGAATTAGAGGGAAGATTTGAAAGTGGAGGAAGCTTGTGATTTATGTGAAACTTCTTATCTAGGAGTTTGGTGCGTTTTTGGTATGTGTTCCTTTATTCTCAAAGTTTACCTTTTGAGAATAAATTTGACTATCTTTTAATAGTCAGGTCATTGAAGTTCAAACAGTATTGACTGTTAGAGTAATCTCAACTAAGAGTAAAACTGTTGCAAAGACATGGCTCTACATTCTTGTGAAACTTGAAAAAGTTAGGCTTGCTTATAGACTAATGTAATGTATCTCAAACTGAAATGTTTTGAGCAATCTTAACCCACATTCAGAAAACAAAGGGACTAGTGGTCGGGTAAGGAGTCTTGGTTGAATTTGATTGTATTCTGTTTCTCCAAATGGATTTTCAAGTTGTTCTTATAATCTAACCCAGGTGAATAAATTGTGTATCTTCCAAAAAAGGGGCATGTCTTAGGGCTTTAGTATGTAGTTGAAATGATAGGAAGGATGGATAGATCCATTTACTACTAGCCCCACTTATTATTGAGTTATGATTAGTTCATTAGTCATTTAGGCCTGTTTTTTTGGATGTTGTAAAATTGTCCTGCAGATAACCTCTGTGAGCTGTGGGGAAGTGTGTGGGGGGGGGGTGTTTTTCCAGGCCATAATCATAGCTAAGGGATATTTTTTTTGGGTCTTTTTTTTTTTTTTTTAATTTTTTTAAGATTTATTTATTTATTCGTATAGAACTGGGGTACAGGCCAGAGATGCGGAGGGTGAGAGGATTCACCAGAGATAGAACGGGGAGCAGAACAGGCAGATCAAGGAAGTACACTGCTGAGGGGAGCAGAGGGCGGGTCAGGAGAGGTCTGCCTCGCCATGTGGATCTCCTCCGGGGCAGGTGGGATCGAACTCTTGTGGAAGTGGCTTAAACTTCTCAGTGCTGTGCTTTAACCCGCTGCGCCCCCAGGGAGGGTCCCGGGTCTTTTTTTTTTTAATGATTGATTTATTATGCATACAAGAGCTGGGGTGGAGGTCAGAGGTGCAAAAGAAAGGGGCTTGAAAGAATTCACCCGAGACAGAATGGGGAGCAGAACAGATGTATTGACTGAAATATATTGCTGAGGGAAACAGCGGGCAAGGCAGGAGAGATCTGCTGCTCCCTGTGGGTCAGCTCCCTGGCTGGGCATCAAACTCATACTGTGAGTCGCTGCAGATAGTTTCATACTACTGAGACCTAACCCCTTACACCATCAGGAAGTTCCCTTCTTGGGTCTTTTTGATGAAAGGAAGGATACAGTCAGTATAGGTTTATCTGAAGAGAAAATACTTTAGGGAGTAGTGTGGACAGTAATTTTGTGTATCCATGACCTAGGTGTGTAGTCTTTAACGTATGGTTTAGAAATAACAGTCAGTTTAATAGTAGAGGAAATTAATTAATAATCTGGCCTTTTGATTTAATTTGTTTTCTAGGCCCCAACATGGGAGGTAAATCAACCTATATCCGCCAAACTGGGGTGATAGTTCTCATGGCCCAAATTGGGTGTTTTGTGCCCTGCGAGTCAGCAGAAGTATCCATTGTGGACTGCATCCTGGCCCGGGTCGGGGCTGGTGACAGTCAGTTGAAAGGAGTCTCCACATTCATGGCTGAAATGTTAGAAACGGCTGCTATTCTCAGGTGAGTGCATTCCCAGTCCCTGCATGGGAATGGCTGTCCCTGTGCTGTGAGTACACTTGCTGATCCACCTATAAAACATCTGAGAACTTTCATCTAGTTTAATACTTTTAAGACTCCTTCTGTTTGGTGTTCCCCTTACAGATCTCCCCGGCCCCCATACGTTTGCTTGCAGTGTTCACACAACCTGGAATGGCCCTTCCTTGCTCCTTTTTCAAGTCTCTCCCAAGCTTGAAAGACCCTAATGCTGGAAAATCTGCTTTTCACGTGCCTGTGATCATGGATATTTCTTCTATTGTAGTCATGCATGTAATTTATTAGGTTTTTATTTTAGAAGTTACTGAAATCTTTTGTCTTTATTTCACTTTTTAGGAGCTTTGAAGCTGGGAGGTGGGGAAAGCCTTCTGTTTCTTGGTATCTTTTTTTTTTCCCCTTGGTATCTTCTAAAGTATTTTGCATTAGCATACCCTTAGTAAACTATGTGTTTACTGCTTGATTTGGGGAAGTTATAAAAGCTATAAAATGTTTGGCATAGTGATTAGTCAACAAGTCAATATTCATTGTTTTAAAAGATTAAAGAAATAAGACATCCACCACTAGGACATGAAGAGCTGTCGGATTCTCTAATTAAAAAATATGTTTGGTTAAAGAATGCTGATACTTTCTTTGTATTGGTAGGTCTGTGGCAGGCTCACAAATTTACATCAGCCATGTGTGAAAATAATTTCATTGCCCCCTGTCAAATTTTCACATCATATTATTTTTTATAAATCTTGGCTGATTCGATTGACAGGAAATGAATGATAGTTACATTATTTGGAAATTATTTGATTACTACTAGTGAGATTGAGAATTTAAAAAATATTTTTGCATTTGTTTTCTTTTCCATTAGTTGTGTCTGTGCCCATTCTTCTGCCGAAGTTTTAGTGCTCGTTATTGACTTCATTGAATTTTTCAGTGTTAAGATAATCTGGTGTGTTTGTGGCCTCCTCTCCCTTTTTATTTGCACTACCACATTGAAGTGTCATGGGAAATTTTCATGTAATTATGTGTTTCAGATCTGCAACCAAAGATTCTTTAATAATCATAGATGAGTTAGGAAGAGGAACCTCTACATATGATGGATTTGGATTAGCATGGGCAATATCAGAGTACATTGCAACCAAGATCGGTGCTTTCTGCATGTTTGCAACTCATTTTCACGAACTTACTGCCTTGGCTAATCAGATACCAACTGTTAATAATCTGCACGTCACAGCACTGACCACTGAGGAGACCTTGACCATGCTTTATCAGGTGAAGAAAGGTGTGTACCACTGGTGTCATGCACAGCCAGAGCATGGCAATAGGGCCCGTATTGGCCTGGCCTGAATTAGTTAAGTTTGAATTGTTTTTACAAGACACATTTACCTCTTAATTCATAGTGTGGAAGCACGGAAATCTACATGTCTCCCCAGCAATACCACTCATTCTAAAACAGTCACAGGAAGAATAATCTATACTCTGAGTCTATGTCTTAAACATCATCTCTCAAACGGACTGACTGCCTCTCGTGGAACTATGTTTTCTGATTAAATTAGCTGCTGGATACTAACAATAAAATTGAAGTTCCTAGGCTCTAACTGCTATTATTTGATAAACTGTTATAATTACTTGATTGTATTTGTTGACATACTTTCTGAAAAGTTTGTCATTTGTAAATTTGGCAACTGATCAGATTACTGAGTTGATGAAATTAATGTGCTTTAAAGTTTGGATTATTTAAACATTTCACCCATCAGAACTTTCAGGTGACTTTTTGCTTTTTGGTGAACTCATTTTACTGCATCAGTTGGTTTGCAGATAAACAAGATGGTTATGTTTGGTTCTTCTAGCCTTTGTTACTTAGGCTTCAGTGGGAATCCGAGCCTGAGTTACTGCATTCACATAATGCTTGTTGATAGAGAATTTGGATGCTTTTTAATTAAACCTGATATTTAGCATGAATTTGAGATTTTGCTTTTAAGTCATTGTTTATGGTTTGTGTGATATAGAGATAGGTTCAGGGATGTGAAAAAAGACCAGATGAAGTACAAAGAATAATAAGTTCATTTTCACTATGGATGTTCAGCAGGCATTTACTTTTATTTCATCTTATGTGTTTCTTCTGTTTGTACAAGGTATCCATCTCCAGAATGATGAGCTATATAACTAGGTATTCCCTCCCATTCATTTTTTAATAAATATATTTATCCACCAGTTTTCCGGAGACACCTTCTCTAAAAATGATTATAGAAAAGAGTGATAAATGTTTCTGATTAGTGACACTTGTACATTTTTTTCTTAATACCTTAGTAACTACCTTATGAATAAGTAAACTTCAGAGAAATATTGATTTGATGGATTTTCTTCAGATTCAGATATTTGTTTAGGCTGTTCGTATTTTTCCTCCACTGTTCATGTTTGTCAAGGATAAAACATTGTACCTATACTAAGTCCTAATTACTTTTCGTTGGAAGCTTAATTAAAAGTCCTTTAAGTTACTCTGAAACATTTGGCTGATGTATTTGAAATAATACAAACTCAAGTTTCTTAATGACGGTAAGAAGGATATGTCCCATCTCATACCCACCAAATTTCTTGTAGGTATCTGTGATCAAAGTTTTGGGATTCATGTTGCAGAGCTTGCTAATTTCCCTCGGCATGTGATAGAATGTGCTAAACAAAAAGCCCTGGAACTAGAGGAGTTTCAGAACTTCGGAGAATCACAATATGATGAAATGGAACCAGCAGCTAAGAGGTGCTATCTGGAGAGAGAGGTTTGTCAGCTAGTTTTTATAGTTACTTATTAATTTCTGCATTATTACGTATGTCAAGTCACCAAAATACTATTTCTTCTCCCCCCCACACACACACATAATTGTAGTCTTTACTTTTTCATCATTCTTTGTTGGCTTTCACCTACATTTTCTTGCCTAGAGACACAGAGAGTCCTGTATTATTTAGATTTCTTTACTATATACACCTGCCTCATTTTTCTACTATATATGTCTGCATGATCAAGTACCAGATTTAAAAGAAGGTAAGGAATATTAGCTTAGGTTTAAAGTAATTCAGAGGAGGGGCCTGCCCTGGTGGTGAAAAGGGGTTAAGTCTCAACACTATGAAGTAGTCGCAGCCACTGCAGCAGGTGTTCAGTCCCAACCAGGAGGTGACCCACATCTGCGTGGCAGACCTCTCCTAACCTGCCCACTGCTCCCCTCAGCAGTATACTTCATCGATCTATCTGTTCAGCTCCCTAGTCTTGTCTCTGGTGGAACCCTCTCAACCCCTGCACCACTGGTCTGTACCCAAGTTCTTATATGCATAAATAAATAAATCTTTAAAAATGAAATAAAATAATTCAGAAAAGCTATAGACTTCCAAAGTACATTTTTTAATTCTTTCATGAATAAATAAAGTCCAGTTAAATTGCATACTTGGTACTTAGTTAGAATAGTAGAGAAATAAAATAACCATAGCTCCTGTCCTCCAGTTGTTTAGGCTCATGTAAGAATAATGAAAATAAACTCGTGCTGCAGTGACTGTGGGCAGCTTCACACTGCTGTGCTTTAACCCCTCGTGCCACCAGGGAGGGCCCAAGCAGACTTGTTTAATGTCATCTCTAATATTCTTTTTTATTACTTTTTTTATAATATTAATTTCATTGTATTTTAGAATTTTTTACAGCTAAGGGAGACAAAAAAGTATCACTTGTCTAGAATTTATCTTTGTTTGAAAAAATGTGCTTTTATTTAATAGGATAGTAATTCTTTATCGTATCATTTGGACTTCTACATTTCACCTTTAATGTACTTATTTTCAACAAATTTTCTTTGAAAATTAGATTTCTAGTTCTCCTTCATATGTAGTAGTAAACATATATAATAGTGCTTACTCTTTGCCAAGTGCTGTTCCAACCACTTTACAAATTAACTCTAAAATCCTTATAGTGATCCTGAGGTCAGTAATAGTATATTTACTTTATGGATGATAAATGTGGGTTAACAGATTTTCCAAGGGCTATGTGGCAAATAATGACCATGTTTTTCAGAACAACAATAATTGGGCAGTAAAATAAACAACAAAGAGATACCTTTTTGTGTATATTAAATATTCAGTGACTATTTATGCTGGATAATATTTCTATCTTTGGGTTCTTCTCTCCCACCCCCAGAAAATTAAGTTTATGTATGTTACAAAAGCTGAGGAATTTTAGGGAACTATTCAAATAGTAAGGTCCTTTATCATTAGCTACTGAAAACATTTATAAATATCCTTTTAATGGCTTGACAGTGAAGAAATATGGTCAACTAAGGGGCTTTGTTTATATAGGTTATAAAAAGTGCATATTTAAATAGTATAGATGTTCTTTAAATACTGGATGGTATTTTTCGATCAAAATTTAATGAAACAGTTCATTATCGCTAATGTGACATTTAGGGTACACACTTTGAATATTAATAGAATGTCTTCATGTCTTTCAGGAAGGTGAAAAAATTATCCAAGAGTTTCTGTCTAAGGTGAAACAAATGCCATTTACTGAAATGTCGAAGGAAAACATTGCAGTAAAGTTAAAACAACTGAAAGCTGAGGTGGCTGCAAAGAACAATAGTTTTGTGAATGAAATCATTTCACGAATAAAGGTTTCTACGTGAGAATGCTGAAGATAATGCTGATGAACTATTGTCTAATGCTTTTCTAAAATTGTTTTTTATTAACCTTTTTCCTAGTGTTGGCAATAGATGCCCAAGAGAGCCACTTAATAAAATATTTAGTAATACTTTGCTCTACCTGAGTACATTTTTAAAGATCTTTATTTTGAAATAGAAGAACTGTAACTGAGGAATACTTAAATGGATATGGGCAACAGTAAGTAATAAAATCATGTAGCTTGTGACATTTGGTTAATTTGGTTTGCATTTATTTATAAAAGGTCTTGTATATGTCTTTATTAAACAGTATGGAAGAATGAAGTGGGGCCGAGACTTTGTAAAGATAGTGTCTTAAAGCTAGAAGGAGCCATGGAAATCGCCCCCAGTGGTTCCCCAGAGTGCCTCTCTGCCAACAACAGCCAGGTTGGCTGCATGTGTATTAGTCCAAGAACTTGCTGTAAATCCAGTGTCTGGCATCACCCTCTACCTTGTTTACCATTCACCCACCCCAGTGAGACTTTGAAATCTGGATTTTAGCAGATGGGGAACACTGATGTAGTCTACCTCTCTGAATTATAGAGAAGAGATGGAGTGGTTAAGAATTGGTGACTGGCCCTGCCAAGTGTGGAGTCTGGTGGGAGAGGAGAGAAACCATCTTTTCAATAAATGGTGATGGGGTGATGATGGGAAAGCCATACAGGAACAGAATGACATGGGGCCCGTACTCCATTATCACCTAAAAAATAAATCCGGTGAATTTTTAAGCTAAATGTGTAAGAGACTTCTAGGAAGCTTTTTGTGTGTAGATTTATAGTTCTATAGAAGATAAGGTAGGAAATTACTTTTATGACCGCAGCTTGGGAGCAGTTAAGTCATAGATACCATCCATAAAGTTTGACATACTTAGTGATAATGAAATTAATTTCTTTTCATTAAAAGCCATTGTTCAATTAGACTGCTTTCATTTTTCTAAAAAATAAAATCTCAGATTTTTTTGAAAATGGGAAGAAAATGTACTAAACGTGTTAAGATGTTTCTGACATAACTGTGCTTACTACATGAATGTGCTAGTGAAACAGCCAGGCCCATCATTTAATTTCCTTTTGGAGTAGTGGATGTATCTAAAGGAAAAGATAAACTAATGTCTGACCTGTCAAAGACAGTTGCATTTTACAGTTCTAATTGTAATGTGGTTTGGGGTTTTTTCTCTATTCAAACAAGAACTTGGGTAATGCTTGAGTAAAGCCAACTACATAAATATTATGTAACATTTAGAACTCAGCCATACTGTTACCATGAAATCTGTTGGCCACATAACCATGTTTCTGAGAAAATACTTGATTTTTTTTCTTTTTTAAAAAGCACAAAGAATCCATCCAAGATACAGTTGTTTTTGTAATTGACTGGATTTTTTCTCTTACTATACTGTTTCAAGGGTAAAGACTGTGACAAAACAGAAGAAGGATGTTTTGGGGTAGATATATTTAAAGAATAACTTTTTCCCCTTAAGAATCTCAATGTTCCGCATACTAGGCACATCCTGTTAGACTTTTTGAGTATTAAATGCACCTTCTATCCTTGGTCTTTCTGCATTTAGCTTTTTGGGAAGTATGTTTTTACCCACAGCATATGGTATGAGCTGCTGATTCAGTACTGAATGATTCTTTAAGCTTGTTAGTTACATTCTGTTGATTAAAATGAATCGTCAGAAGAAAACCAGTCCCTGGTCTGAAACAAATCAATGTTAATTAGCTTATGGGGAGGAACAAATCAGAGACTTTTCATATACAAAGGAAATCTGTTAATGCTTTCCTAGACTGGATTAAGGAGACAGGCTGCAGAGCATGATGAGAATGCCCAGGCGATGCACAGACTAAAGCTTAGAATGGAGCCCAACACGAAGTTTGCTGCCGAGTGTTCTCCGCATTCTCTTCCCTCAGTAAAGTGCCTATTTTCCTGTGGTTCTGCTTCGGAACTTAGCTATTTGGCCAGTTTTCGGGTGTCTGGGCGTCCCGGGCAGCACCAGTTTAATTCTGCTTCCGTTCTCTGCGGATGGCAGTAGAATCCTCGTCTTCGCCACTGCAGTTTCCCTACCTCCTTGGGAGCAGTGTTTCATGGTGTCAGACAACATTCAGAACAAGATCCAAATTCAATGTATGTTAGCATATTTTTGCTTTGGCATGTGGTTTGTACAAACAGAAGTGCCCACACACACGTCCTTCATCAGCTATGTGAGAAATTCAGTGGTGCAAACCATGTGTCCATGTGGCCTGTGGGAGGCCTCCAGTGGACACCCTGATCTGGACTTGGAAAGTCAAAGGCTGCTGCCTCTGACTCTTCTCAGAGTTCCAGAAATAAACTCAAATGACAACATTTAGAAGGAAGGGAAAATTCAGTCAGTGGACCCGCCGGGGTCATGGATACGCCACCCTCTGGGACTTGTTTGCCCAATGGACGCCAGGCTGTATGGCTCCGTCCTCTCAGTTCACCAGTCACCAACGACTGACACCGAATCAAGTGACTGTGGCACCCTGTTTGCACAAATGGTTATGTTTAAATGTGAAGTGGACAGAAGCCTGGAAAATGGGGGGTAAGAATTAAATGTCAGCAGTGTTTGGAGCAAGATGTTGAAATTGGTCCACTCAAATCTGACCATTTGGATTGGAGGCTACAGCTTGAACCATGAATGTTTTATCCAGTGTCTAGGGAACCACCCTGGAGATCCTTCCCATTGCTCTGCTCTGATATGCTCTTACAAACCAGTAGCAAGTGTGCAAGCTGGGTGGGTGAGGTTAAAGTGAGCAGGGTGCGGTGTATCAGGAAGGTGAGAAAGGTGGTCTTGGGTTGGGTTAGTCCTCGCTTTGCTCCCTTAGCTCAGTGACTGAACTGCCCCCTTTTTTGAGCTTTAAGGGAGTTGGGTTTTGTTGTTTTTTTTTTAAGATTTGTTTATTTGTGCATACAGAACTGGGGTACAGGCCAGAGACTCAGGGGTGGCGAAAGACTTCACCAGAGACAGAGCGGGGAGCAGAACAGGCAGATCTATGAAGTACACTGCTGAGGGGAGCAGCGGGCAGGTCAGGAG